AAATTACTTGGTACCCTTAAGTGTTTACCCCTCAATCGATGTGCCGGTTAACCACACACGCTCCATCGATACTATGATAAACATTAAGTTACCCTTTGCCTACCTTGTTAAATACGAGTTAGTGTGCCGGTTAACCACACACGCTCCACTAACCGACTTAAACAAAGTGCAAAGTGTAATTTCATGGATTAGCACCTTATTCACATTTTCCTAAGTAACTAAGATTGGGTATTATAAGAGTTTAGTTACTTAGTATTTATCATTAATACTTTTAATGAAGGGAGAATTATAGTCATGTCAAACCCGTTCGGCTAACGACCCTCCACCAGTCAAGCAAGCGGTGGGTGAGAGTGGACACCCATTAAGTTGCCATTTTATAGGCAACAACCTTATACCCACCTTATAGACCGGCTTCGTGAATGAGGCGTACTAGCGGTAAGACCGACTTTACTCTTATACATATATATATATATATATATATATATATATATATATATATATATATATATATATATATATATAATATATATATAAATAAGGGGTTGAATTTTAACTTTTAAAATTCTAAGGGCTAACTTGGAATTAAAGTATTCATAAGAGAAAACTTTACAAATTCCAAAACTTGAGGGCAAGTTTTGAAACTATTCAAAACTAATTAATTCCATAACTTATGTGTTTAAAGTAGTTTTAATCCAAAAACTCTTCAAGTTCCATAACTTGAGGACAAATTATGGAAGACTTTAAACTAATAAAGAATTAACTTTTTTTTATTTTATAACTTATGAAATTAATTAAGGTTACATTATTTTTTTTTATATTTATTTAATGAAGAGACTCTTGGTCCTCCATAACTTGAGACAAATTATGGAGTCATAACTCCAATTAATTGGAACTAGACTCTTCATTTTTGTAACCTTTGCCAACTTTATGAGTTTTATGAGTCTTTAATGTGACTCTTTATGTAACTTGAGGATAAGTTACTCAAACACATTTTATACTCAACTCTTAGATTAAAATGGATTGAAAACAACTATTTCTTTCAACTTTTCTATTAATCTAAGAAACTCATAAGAACAAGATAATTCAAATCAAACTTTTTCATGTAATTAGTCTAACCTTTAAACTAATACAAAACATGAATCTATTGACAATTATCTTTGAAAATGGATTAGCATGAACATTACCACATCAAAAAACAAGTTTATAAGTTCAAAAACAACTTAGGGTAATGTTCCTAGTCCATTTCTAGCCAAAAACCTCGAAAGTATGCTGTCTGGGGTCCAACTCGTCGAGTGCATGAACACAACTCGGCGAGTTGGATGCATTTTTCCTTGGACTCGTCGAGTCCCTTCATGAACTCGGCGAGTCTGCTGGGCTGACAGCATCAATTTCGATTTTTCAGCTTCTATTGCAAGTATAACAAGAAAACAAGCCTAGGCTCTGATACCACTGTTGGGTTATGAGCATTCTAACACTCCTAAGTGTACATGCAACCCTAAATACCTTGGATCTATGTTTTCTCTATTATACATGCAAATATGAACATCCAAGGTATTATCCTAATCTAGCATACAAAAATATCAATATAACAAGATAGAATACATACCTCTTTAAATGGTGCTTGTCTTCATGAAGCTTGAGTGCCTAGTGCCCCAAGTGTGACACCTCAAATGGTTCACACAACACCATAAACACTTGGAATAACTTAGAGAGAATTCTACACTTCATGAAATCGTCTAGCCCTTCAGACACACATAGTGTCGATTTCTTGAGCCATGGGTTTCTTTTATATGGTGGCTATTAGGGTTACACCATGTAACTCACGACTTTACCCATTCCTTATGCTCCATGGATTTTAACCTCCATGGAGTATCCATGGGTCACCCCATGGACTTAGTCCAACATAAGGAATCTTGGATCACAAGCCCACATATATAAGAATGAATGATTTACACAATCAACCCATATATTTAATTAGTCTCCTTTTGATCACTTAATTAATTCCAAATTAATTCTTGATCAATACTAATTAAATAACCTTATTAATATATTAGAACTTATAATATATTAACAAACCTTAAGTGTTATTTCTCTCATTTTAGTCTATCCAAGTGCATGATGCCATGCAACCCAAATGGACCATGCCGGGTCGGGTCAAGTTTTACCAATTATAGTTATGGACTTAGACATTAATCCAACAGTACTTACCTTTGTTTGTTCACATTTATAGCTGAAATTTCAAGTAGTAGATATCTCGGAAAATGGAAGGGAATTAAAGGCAATTCAATTTCAAAGATTTGATGGATTAAGTCTTTAACACATTTCTAAAAAGCTGCACATTTATCTGTTTAAACGATTTCTTGTTTGACTAATTCTTTTATATGTATTCTTATATCATTCAATTGTACCATTCTATCTAAAAGGAATCTAATGGTGGAAATTTGATCCTAGTATAAAACTTATGACACATCATTCTCCCTAAAAGCATGTTGTATGTAACTAAATCTCTCTAAGTCTCTCATTACCGAAACCATCGGTTGAGAACATTGAGACACCTTCTCACGCTAATTGTAAAGCATTGTCTAAACTCTCAGAAGTAAGATAGCCTGGTCCAAGCAAAAAATATTGATAAAAAGGATAGGGTGTTTATTGTTTTTGAGTTAATCATCTATACCTAACCCTGTCCCTGAAATCATGCTTGTCGTATGCATCAAGTCTCATGTTCTGTTGAAACATTGAGCATAACCAAATGGCTTACCGTGAATGCATTATCATCAGCATAGGATATACTTATCAGGTCCTTAAATAACAAAGGATGTTTCACGTCCCTGGCCTCCTAGTTTGAGGTAGACATGTTACCATTATGAATTAACGACGAATCTTTCATTCAAGATTGCGACTTACTATATGATACAAAATTTTAAACCACTCCTTGTCGATGAGTTCAACTGTCAATGATTCGTGCTAATTTCACCTCAAAATGACTGAGGCATCCCATTTCTCTTCCAAAAGTCTCCTTACTAGAGCTTAATGATTCACTGTGTAAAACGACACACTGATAAAAGATTGAAAGTCTATGTTGATGATTAGTCTATGTATCGTAGTCTATCACACGCATCAATCTATTATTTCCCTTATATTCTTCTTCAAAGTTTTGTGATTCAACGTAATATACCATATGCTGATGAGAACTTCACAAATCTATGCTGATGGGTACATCATTTTTCGTGATGTATTACACACATCTGTCCATTATTGCCATTTTTCTTCTAATAAAAGAGATTTATGATTCATCGTATGAAACCATATGGTGATGAGATCTTGAAATACTATGTCAGTTAATGGTAGTTTTAACCCACTACTAGAAAAAAGCCCTTTAATGACGTCCAAACAATGACACGCGCTGATAGAGGACACGCATTTGTTCATGCCCTAAAAAATAATGTCTGTTTTGCAAAATTTGACAGATAGAGGACACAGATTTGTGTGTGCCCTAAAATTAGTGTCAGAAAAGAAAAAAGGAAATGTGGAGGGCGCCTTTCAAAAAATGTGTGTCATCTTAATGTCTTGCCTTATAATTTTTTAATGAAACATGCGTTTTAAGGCGGTATTTCACCCACCATTGGATCCATAAAATTAAACCCCCTGCCTCTTCCAATTAACAAGAAAAAGCCTTAGGGCCTTCGGCTTCATAGCAGCATCGCACCACCACCCAACCTTCGATCTCGCACCGTGTCTCCGACCATCTTCTCCAACCATTCTTTCCTGTCCCACTACACTAATTACAAAACCCCCCATCATGATATGCTACTGTTTGCATTTCTGTCAACCGTAACTCAACCTCCAACCGCTCCACAATGATCGGTATCCAATCTGGTTTCTTGTTGTTCACTTCTTCTTCGGTTCTCATTACGTTTCGCCTTCCCCTGGTTCCAAAATAAGGTACAAGAGTGTTTCTTCATATTTGGTTGTTTTTTTTTGTGTTAGATTTCCCTATTTTTCTTCTTCAACGATTCCCTTCTCCTCTAACCACTTTCTCGACTTCTCCCCTGACTTATACGAACTACAACATGGACAAAAAAAAACCTAATCTCACTTACAACAAGAAACCCCTATTAAATCCTTTAACACATCTTCACAAAATTAAGCACATACAACCATCGTCTATGAGAGTATGTCTTTCTTCTTCCTCTTACAATCACTAAGCCCTAACACCAAAGATTGAAAGTCAATTGGCCCTCTGTTCACAAAAAAAGGTAAGCATTTTCCTTTATTTATTGCATTCCATTAGTTCGACCTCATATTCTTCTGTTCTTCGTCTTTTTTATTTAGATTATAACTCTAGCCCTATATTGTGTTTTCTTTAAATGGAGAAACCATTCCATTCAGGGCTTGATTGCAATTTTCTCCACAAAGATTATCCCGACAAACTGTGCTGGAAATCCCTCGACTTTCCTTCGATTTTCTATATCAAATGTTTAAAAAAATCATAACTCGTTGGTCTATGCCTCAAATTTGATTTCAAAGTCTTTCACACCCATGATTAGTTAACAATAAAGTCCTTGTAATAGAACTCGTTGCTACGCTAAATTAAACATCAATTCCAACACCAAAGAAACTATTTTCTTATTAATTCTAATAATTACAGTTTGTTAATTCACACATAGATATACGTTTAAAGTTCTTAATAAACAAATTAGGAGAAAATCATATTCTGGTTTTTGGGTGCATTTAAATTTTCAACTTTTATCATGTCACTCAATAACAAATCAGATTAAGGGCTTTTGGGAAAAGGCATAATCTGTTGTTTGGATTTTTAATGATGAGATTGAAAAATTAATTGGATACCTAATTTTTCGTTACATATATTGTCAAGACCCACAATCTAAACGTCTTCCATATTGACCGGATCTTTCAACAAAGGTTAGACTTCCGGTATATATATGCATACTGTTACTTTCACGAATCTTTCTCTTTGAGAAATGTAATTTGATTTGATAGCATAATTTTCATTTCAAATTAACATCTACTGATAACATTTATTTATAATCAATCAGCGTATGATTTATGAATGTTATTGCAAATTTAGTTCAATAAAGGCTCGTCTGCTTTATGCAAATTATGTGGAATTAACTTAATTTTCTCAATTTATCCTAAATTACCTACATTTTATTGAACCATATCCTGAATGTGTTCACAAGTAACGTTGGCTTACAACTCACATGTGAATGGTAGGCCAATAATAATACTATGTGCACAATATATCAAGCAAAAATATTTTTCTTACATGATAATTTGAGGAATAGGATCAGGGAAACCATTGAAATCATGGAGCTTATTACCAATGTTGCCAAAGCCCATGGTGATTACTAATTAGCTCTTCTTTATATAACTTAGGCAACACCTTGATTTTCTTGACACCACCTGTAAATAATATTTGTTTTGTTTCCTCAGGTGGTATCTCTGTCTTTGCTGGTGTTGGAGAACGTACATGTGAGGCTAATGATCTTTACATTGAAATGATGGAAAGTGGTGTCATCAAGTTAGGCGACAAGAGGTAAATCTTTATATAGATATATGTTTTCCATTCTCGATTTCAAAATTTCATGGTTATGTCATTGTCATAGTATTTAACAAATAAAAGCATCAAATTATGTTTAATGATTCATGATAATTTCAAGCAGTTAGCAAACCTGTGTTTTGTGATTTCAGGATTCATGATTGCTAATGATAGGGAAGTATAGGCTCCCTAAGCCCTTCTTCAGTCGTTAGCTTCTTGAAAGAAGTTTTCCTAAGTGCTAAACACTTCAGAGATGCTAAAAGTCAAGACGTGCTTCTCTTTATTGATAACATTATATGTTTCACATACGTAAGTAAAAAAAACATTTCTTTCTTGATGAATGTCAAAAATTTACCAATGAATGTTTGACTTTATATACCAACAGGCTAACTCTGAGGTATCTGCTCTACTTGGGAGTATTCCGTCTACTGTGGGTTATCAACCAACATTGGAAACCGATCTTAGAGGGCTTTAATAACATATCATAACCACCAAAAACGGTTCCATTACATATATCCAAGCCATTTATGCCCCTGCTAAAACCTTTTTTCATTTGGATGCCACCATTGTGTTATCCAGACAGGTGAGTAAATATATAACTTATTTCTTTATGTGATTGTATATATTACTAAATATATAAGTAGGTAGCGACTAGTTTTAGGGAGGAACCCTAAAACCAATAAGGAAGAAAATATTTATCGTAAGGGTATTCTTGTCATTTGTGCTTAACAGACCAAATCCATAGGCCATTGTATCTTGGAATAGACTTGGAGTTTCATCATTTGCTAGAGCATCCAAGATCCTCAAGAACAAACTTGATGTAACAAAATTCAACTTTCCTGTTGCTGGAACTGATGTAAGATTGAGTCTTGAAATAAAGATGAAAAAGTTTACTCATTTTCATGTTTTAAATTAATTATTTTTGTAAATTTAGACACATGAGTACATGGAGGTTGCAAAGAGATCTTTGGTGTTCAAAAGCTCCAAGATTAATTATTTTACTCATTTTCATTTTCATGTTTTAAATTAATCATTTTTACTCATTTTCATTTTCATGTTTTAAATTAGTTATTTTTGACCCCAGCGCCGGAAGGAAACTCTCTATCACAGCAACAAAAAGATGGAGACCGGAGTGGAAGAAAGAGAAATAGAAATTGGGAAATCGACTTTAGGTAGCAACAACTTGGTCTTCTTCTCAATTTTTCAACAACCAATTTTTTGTTCAAGTAAGGTTATCGTTCTTCGAATTACACTACCTTCTAGTAACTTTTGCACAAATTTTCATTTTATGTCCCATAACTCCTGAATTGTTGCAAAATAGTATATTGTATATTGTCCAGTTGTAACTAGGACACTATTGATTTAATGATTATATTGTTGAAGCATAGATGCAAGGCAACCCTGATGATCAGGACCAAAGTATACCTGCAATTTGGCAACAAAATAATGAGGTACATAAATAACTATTAGTCAATTGTCTAAAATGCTCCTAACTTCTCATTTTTTCTCTGTAACCAGAGTCAACTAAGGGTTTATCAAACAAGTCAAATGCATCTAGAGAAGGGGTGGGTATTTTCACACTCCTTGGATTCAGAAGATATGGATCCTAGTTTTATAAAACTCCGTAGGTGTGTTACATTTCTTTTCTATATTTTTATCATTTTATTTTTTTATTTCAAGTGGGTCCTTGGGGCATCCTGGGATGACTGGTGGAGTTGGTCCATTTAATTTTTGCATGACTTTTCTTTTAAGCTTTTTCATTCCCTTCATCATGTTTTGATACATGTTTAAGTATCTGCAGGTGATATATTCACACAAAGAGTTATATTTTAGCATCAACACATGAGGTGTAAGGCTTTTGTACATAAAGAGTTATATTTTATAATCTTAATGTCTTACTTTTGAAAATGAATCGGGTTTATGATTCTCCTTGATTTTATTAATCCCAACAAACCATATTTTTTTAATCAAGTTAACAACTTTATAAAATATTTTAATTTTTAGACTTTGAGGACAATGATAGTTGTTGAATTCAGGTGATGGATACACTTGGGATTCTTTGTTCATGATTCAAGTGGACAATGTGGGATATCTCCTTCAGATCAGGTATGACATTATAGTCATGAAATGGAAATTGCTATAGCATAAATTTTTTAATATATCTGATAGTTTTGGATGTTATATGTAATTTTTATTTAAATAGGCACCACATGAGATCAATTGTTTGGAGCTTCCCCTATTTCAACATGAACATTTACCTGATCTGGACAGAGTTCTGCTATATTAAGTGGTAACTTCATCTTCTTATGATTCTACGTGTAGCTTCAACCTTCAAGTATGTTAACTAGGTTTTAATTCTTTCTCTTTCTTGTGGTTTTATGGTGGCAGCTACTACTTTTGATTGGATCATCATCACTTCACCTGAAGTAGCCCTTGTCTTTCTTGATGCCTGGAAGTATGCACACAGCTTTCCTCCATATAATAATAAGTTACATTTCCTTGTGTATAACTTTTTAATCAAAATTTTAAGTCACAAATTATAACCTTGGATGATTTGCAAATTATCAATTTTTGACTAAGTAATTGGAGGTAAGGAAAAATTATAACCTTGGATGATTTGTAAATTATCAAATTTTGAATTATTAATACATGGGTAAATGAGGTGAAAGCATAGGATGTTGTTTGTTTGATAAAAGATTCTGCTACTCTATCTGGTTCGTTATTCACCTTGCATGTATCCCAAATATGTATTGAGCTGCCAATTCTAACTAATAAAGATAAGGAGGTGCAGTTTCTCTTTTGTGATTCCATTAGATGTTTCTTATCGTATACTAATTTAAGTTGTAAGATTTATGGAAAATTGTAGGTTATTCGCACAGAGGGAGTGCGTAACAAGATTTTTGCACATATAGAAAATTTTGAGGTTGGATGCCCACATTTTTCAAGTTGTATGGAATCAAATTGTCTCTTGTGTCACATTGGGTAGATTAATTTAATGTCACATTGAAATTTCATTGAATAGTATAGCCATAAATAGAAGAAATAGCAATGTACTTTCATATATTATTTGTATGACATTAAATTTTATGCAATGGATTTTATTTTTTGTATATGGTATTTTATTTTTAATTATGAGACATTAAATGAAAATGCAATTTGAAAATTAGTAAATCTATAAATAATATATTTTTTTAAACATTTAAAATTACGATATGCAAAAATGTGTGGCATCTTCATTTATGACATGGCCTTTCTTGACAGGGGCTTTAATGATACACAATGCGAGTCGTAAATGGGTGTCGTAAATGTGTGTCATAAATGCACGTCGTAAATGCACATCGCAAATAGACGACGCGCAAAAGCATATCGTGTCTCATTATGATAGGGGCTTCCTTGATACGCATTTGCGTGTCGTCTAAGCGTTTTACGACACGCATTGCACGTCGTAAAAGGTTGTTTTTCTAGTAGTGACCCATGCTAACAAGAGAGGTCGCACTCTTACTAAACTACAAGTTGATATTATATTCTGCCTGAAGATTACATGTTGATGTCAAAAAAGGGGAGATAAAAAATCTTTGTAAAGCACACTCCAAAGAGGAGCTAAGCTAATATCAACATTATGAGCTCTTCATCAACAACATCATTGGGAAGTTACTCTTATTCTCAAGGGAGCATTCATTAAAGTTGAAGAGTTAAAAGAATTTGTTAAAGTTGAAGAGTTAAAAGCTTTTGTTAAAGTTGTAGAGCTCAAAATACATTATTATTTCAGGGGGAGTATGAAAGACCCCAACTTTCGTATTTATGAAAGACCCAAACTTTCATACTATGTCAAAAAAAATTCTTAAGTTACTTCCTCAAAACATGCTACATGCATATTTATAAAACAATATTTTATATTGATAAAGTGATTACAAAAGATTGGATACAAACTGACTAAGTTTTATTATATTTCATGTCTACCCAGGAATCTACTATTCATATACATACATGAAAATTAAAAATACAGAGAAATAGTATTAACTATTCTAAATGTTTCAGCAGTATAAAGCTATATTGGATACTCATCACTTGCAATTGTTAAATATTGAGAGGGATAAGCAATAACGCTTAGTGAATTCAATAAATAGATACAATATAATCATATGCCTTATATATACCAATATGACATAAGCAAAAGGGAACAAGAACAACAATAGTATATGCGTATCATATGTCACACTTTCAATATCAACTCAAGATTTGATTCAAAGATTTACGATCAATGAGACATAAAAATTTCAATACTTGATATGCATCAATAATGCTTTGGCCCAAATGGCACAGAAGACATATAATTTCTGATTATCAATTTGATAGATTTCAGGTTTTCACGCTTTGTTTAGCATTTCAGTAGATTTCAGGTTTTCACACCCTGTTTAACATTTCAGTACATTTCACGTTTTCACACCCTGTTTAATCTTCTGCCAATGCCATTTAAATATAATTCATTCACTTACGGGGAACATGCTCTACATGGCCAGAGGCGTCGTACCATTACCAATGTGAATCTAAGTCTTTTCACTGATCACATGGTCAAAGGTATTACTTTTGCTATCAAAATAGTAGAATAAAAATAACACGGAAAAATAACTCGAAATAATAACACTGAGATGCACATAGCACATATAACACATAACATACAATTTTTCCTATATATTGAGCTCACTTTGAATTAACCGGGGGTCAAAATGGTAATTTGGGAAGGACTTCGACTTTAAATATGACTTTCTATGTTGAAAACCGAGGGCTTAATTGAAAATCAGGCTCTGCGAAGGTAGAGCTTCAAAACCGAAAAGATAAAATTTTCGAGCCTCTCGGGAGCTTCAGGACGAGTTTCGGGTGCTAAAATTGATACATGGGCTTTGGGGAAAGTCAAAATGAAGAAAATATGGAAAAAAGGGGCCAAAAATGGCAATTTTCTAAAATTACCCGAGAGATCTTGCAGCCCTCCCTTTTATAGGGTCGAGGTTCGAACCGGAGATGCAGGTGGTAGCAGCAGCGATGAGCATGCAGCGCAAAGGCAAGGCTTGGATGCGAGGGTCGGAATAGCTGGTGCGAGTCAGCGAGGCAGGTGGTAGCGAGGGAGGACGGACACGGGGCGCGCATGCGAAGCACCATCTATGCGGAGCTCGGATGTAACACGGAGCGAGGCGTGTCGGAAGGGGATAGGCATCGGCCTCTGTCCAATTAGAAGGAAGCACATGTCGGACTTTCGGACGCACAACGCATATGGTGACGTGGCCGGTTCCGGATAAGGCTTATCCATGCGAGTTTATCCGAAATTCTCGGATTTTGAGCCAAAATATTCCGAAATTGATAATTTTCGCATATGAACACCGTTTTTTACGTTCTTTATATGCACGCATAGACAAAATTATGAACTACAACTTTCGTTTAGACTTCGTCGGCTAGTTTTGAATTTAATTTTAATATTATCATTTTTAACAGACCGGGACAGTAAAATCAGTTAAAAATTCATAACTTCTTCATCCGACATCCGTTTTCGTCAGACTTTTTACTGTTGTACTACAAAGGATGAGACCTTCAATTCTCGTTTAGGTTGTGTCGGCTAAAAATCACTTGATCTAAAATTCGAGTTTTTAGCTGTCTACTGCTAAGCTGAAACTTCGAAAAATCATAACTTCCTCATACGAAGTCAGATTTTGGTTTTCTTTTTATCGAACTTCTCGGTTTAATGAATACTACGACTTTCATTTAGATTACTAACGCTAAAAATTAGTTTGTCAAAACCTCACTTTTTACGTCATTCGGTGCTGTGTTGGTTTTGTCGCAGATCTTCGATTCGTCATAACTTCTTCGTTATAACTCGGATTTTGACAAGGTTTTCGCCTACGTGTTTTTAACGAGATTATCTACAACTTTAAATAATAAAATTTTACTCATTTCAAATTTTATATTTTCGCTATATTTCACTATTTGGATTTTAATTGGAATCTCATAAGACTTCAAATATATTATGAGTGATTCTAAACATAGTTTTACTTCATTTCTAGTAAAAACTATCCGTTAGAACTCAACACTCAATTTCACATAACATTATTCTCTTTTATAATTTATAATACACGATTTTAGAACGTGTATGTTACAAATACCTCCTCCTTTTGAAGATTTCATCCCCGAAATCATAACGATTAAAACAATTAGGGATACTTCACTCTTATTTCATTCTTATTTTCCCAAGTATAATTTGAGCCTCGATGGTGCTTCCACTTAACAAGCACCAACTTCATTTATTTATTACTTAGATTAGTCGTTCATTCATTTACAGTCTTTTTAGGTTTTTCTACATATCTTAACTTATTATCCAATAACTCTTAGGATAACGGAATCGTTTCATCATATACGCTCAAGCATTTGCATAGATAACTCACATGAAACACTTCATGAATATTTTTCAAATCTTCAAGCAATTTCAAGCAGTATGCTTGGTTACCAATCGTTCTTTCTTCCAAAGTCGCATAACGCCTTTCTTTGAAATACCTTCAGTATTACTAAATCATCCACCCGGAATTCTTCGGGTCATCTTCTCTTTTCTGCATAGGACCTATGTCGATCCTGGGCCGCTTTTGTCACACCCCGAAAACCAAAGGCGGAAACGTCTCCGGGGGTTGACTACCATGTTGTGTATCAATTCCAATGTACATAGTAATCACAGTAAACAAACAATACATTACATATATATGAAAGTTTACATTTTTTTCAAAAGTAAAGTTATACAAGATATTCATATGCATCATATTAACAAAAGTTGAGACGAGTCTTCCACGCACTCCGTCTTCGCCAAAAAGATCACTGGGTACCTGTCTAACTTGGACCTAAGAATACAAGCGGTTTGAAAATCAGCATAAAGCTGGTGAGTTCATAAGCGGTTTTGTTTTGTGAAAATGTATCGGTTTCCTTTAGTTTCCGATAAGATTTGTTATCCCAGAAAATTCCATATTTTCTTATGTGAAGTTGGTTAAGTTATCATTTGTTACCAATTCGGTTATGTATTGTATTTACCCCAGGAAAATCCCATATTTTCCTAATTGTAAGATCAATGGTATATCACAAAGTATAGTTTAACACACAAAACTATATAATGAAAATCTTGGGATCACTATCCCGAAAGACATATATAAGATAGCATAACACATCCGAAAGTACAGGTTTAAGATCATGGGACTATCATCCCGGACTAGACACTAGATAGTTTAATGTATATATGTAATTATAGATTGAAACCATGGGATCACTATCCCGAATAAGATAGAAATTTAGAAAACCATGGGATCACTATCTCGTATAAGATATAGTTAAAGACACAAAACCTTGGGATCATTATCCCGTATAAGATATAGATTTAGAAAGCCATGGGATCATTATCCCGTATAAATTATAGTTAATGACCATGGGGAAAGACATCCCGTACAAGATATAGACATAAAGCCATGGGATCACTATCCCGAACTAGATACCAAATAGTTTAGTTAATACCATGGGATCACTATCCCGAAAGAGATATAAGAATAAACCATGGGATCATTATCCCGTATAGGACATAGATATATAATAGTTTGATAATACCATGGGATCCTTATCCCGAAAGAGACATAAAAACAATACCATGGGATCACAATCCCGAAAGAGATAAAGATTCTGAACCCAAACTGTGAATAAGCTGATATTAATACATATTGTGAGTCGGGTAACCATACTAATACGACAACGTGACC